TGGATGTTGGAAGTAGAACGTCCTCTAAAATACAAGGGAGGCTGTAGAATGTTTTCTTACTCATCACTTACCTCTTTTTCAATTGGGCTTTTTGGAATTAGAGCTCCCAGTTCCTGCAGCCTGACTATAAGGAGATCTAATCATTTTCTTGATAGGGCTTTGTCAAACCACCTAACACAACAGTGGTAATATTTTTTCTTGATGTAAAGTATGCTGAATCCTTGTCCTTTCTGCTTTCCTCCTGGTGAAAAGCTGCTGAACTTTGCTTTGATTCTCAAAAAGAGTTATGGCTTTTAGCACTGAACTGAACTGCTTTGAAAAACCCATGTTTATTTTTGAGGACTCCATTATGTTGACTTTCTCACACTTAACTATGTCCCCTTTAGCCACATACTTGGTGGAAAAGTTAATCTAATTGAAAGAAGGAGGAGGAGAAGGAGAAGGGGAGGGAGAGAGGAGAAAGAAGAAGAAGGAAGATGGGTAGGGGAGAAGAAGGAAGAAGGGAAAGAGTGGGAGCGGGAGGATGCAGGGAGCAGGAGGAGGAGGAAGGAGAAAATAACAAATTGTATAATTCCACCAGGTTCTCATGCCCCAACTGCAGTAGAATTCCTTAAAAAGAAAAAATTTAAATAAATATGGTAGTGGGGAGGACTGGTTGAGGAGGGAAAGATTGCAAGTACCTACAAGCTTATCTCGGGAGATAGTGGAGGACAGAGGAGCCTGGCCTGCTGCAGTCTGTAGGGTTACAAAGAGTCGGCCACAACTGAGCAACTGAACAACAGCAAGCTTAGCACCTTCACCCTCTTTTGGTCCTTTGGCTTACTCAATGTTTATGTGTGTCTCTGACTGAAGGAGCATTTCTATTCTTCCCTTAAAGCTCATTCGTACCTGTGTTTCATTTCCTCAGTGTAAGTTTAGCAGTGTCTCAGTAGACAGGGATTAGGAATTACCTGGGCCAGTGTTGACTATAAAGGGGTCAAATAGGATGAAGCCCTTGCTTCTTTTTGTGCCTTCCATTTCCTCTTCTGTAAAGTGAAAGGGCTGAGTGAGATTATTTCTTAGCTCCGTTTCAGCTCTCCATTTTTTGCCACTCTTTCTGAATTAGCTTATCTGATATCTTCCTTTTTTCCTTCCTATCTACCTATCATCTGTCTTTCCCAAATGTTTTTGAGATTCTTTCCAAGATAGACTTAAGCTAATGAAGCATCAATTACAGGGTCCCTCGCTAGACTCCTTCTAAGCTATAAAAACATTAATTTCATGTCTGATGAAATTATGTCTTATGTGTGTGTGTTAGTCATTCAGTTGTGTCCAACTCTTTGTGACCCCATGGACTGTAGCCCGCCAGGCTCCTCTGTCCAGGGAATTCTCCAGGCAAGAATACTGGAGTGGGTTGCCATTCCCTTCTCCAGGGGATTTTCCCAACCCAGGGATTGAACCTTGGTCTCCTGCATTGCAGGCAGATTCTTTACCATCTGAACTAGTATGATTTTGTACTTTGAAATTAATATTCTCAAAGAGAGCTCCCAGATTTGTATTTGCTTTGGGTCCACAAAATCTGCATTTTCCCTTGATTGGCTTAGGAAAAAAGACAAAAATAAGCATCTACAAACAGGAATATAAAAAGAAGGTGTGAGAAGAAAAATAATAGAAAATAAGCCAAGCATTAGATGAATTTACCCCCATTGAGCATGAAGCTGACATCCAAGTTTCCTGGAAGACAAAGTGGTGAGGGGCATATCTTGTACATTGTGTAGCTCTTGCTCTCAGAATGGAGGAAACTTCCAAAGAAAACAAAAGTATTTATGAATATTGGACTATGAGAAATGTCTCAGTGGAACATTTTATAGGGGAAAAGATCATCTTATGACCAAAAGTGCTATTTTCACTCTGATAGAAACCTTGGAAACACGTGATAAATTTTTGCTCACATATGCACTGAGCAACTTTTCTGTACTAGGCATCATCCTGGACAGACAGTAGAGATACAGACCTGACACTCATCCTCTCAGAGGTCTCAGGCTAACACACAAACATTCATACAAAGAAGTTGATAAGTTGCTCACGGAGACCTGCACAAAGAGGTATGCATCACAAAGAACGCTGGCTAATTCACATCAGGGAGATGAAGAAGGAAGGGAAGTAATAACTTCTGAGCTCAGTTTTAAAGGTAAAAATACTCTTTACACAATAGTTGTCACTTCACAAGGAACACTAAAAAGCTACCAAGACATGTCTAGACAATTTTCCTGAACATAATCTGACTGTCATTCCTGTGGTTTATGGGCAACCATCACTGCTGTGATTAAATTGCATTCATTGATTCAGCACTTACAGATGCCAAAGAAACCCACCTTTCATGAAATGAATTGTAGCCTTCCTGTCTTAGTTTCTTAAGCACTTGAAAGATTTCTCATGACTTACTCATAGCCTTTTCAATGCATATAACTGGTTTATTAAATTCTTAAGTTGTCTGTAGAGAACCAAAAGCAGGGTATTTGAACATTACAATAAGAAACACTGGGGAAAAAAATAACATTTGACAATATACTAATGGACATCCCTTGGTGTTCAGGTATTTTCAACTTCAAAAATCTCATTCCAGTGAGCAATTTAAAAATCTTCTGTAAGCAGTTCCCATTTTACAGCAGTGGAATAGAAAGTGACTCACCTGGCAGCACCTCAAAACTTTTTAAACCACAAAATGATAAAGAGCCGGAATTTTAAGCATCCAAATGTTAGGTAATAGAAAACATCTTCATGAGGGAAATAGGATCTCATAATGGTCTTGCTTGGAGAGGTTTGTATAGCTGCAATGAGCATTTCCCCCCAGCACTGGCTTCCCCAAAGGAATAGAAATATTTCTGCATCTTTCTAAAATATTCAGCTGCAGCAAGTACTGCATCAAACAGTCTTACAAGTTTGCTCTCTATTGTGTCTGGCCAAACATCCTGAGAACTTTGCCTTGCATTATGCATGGCCCTCCACCTCCATGCAAGTTTGAAAACACTTGAAAAGTCTCTTCCTGCCATCCTAACTTCCATTCTCTTTGACGGATTACAAAGGCAAAGCAGTTCCTTGCAATGGAGCCGGATTTTCAATCATGGAGAAATTTGGAGCTTCTGCAATTGCTACTAAAATTATGATGCTGCCATCATATCTCACTCAACAGGGGATTTGCAAAGAAAGAAAAAAAAGAAAGATTCAGTACCAAGTCACTGTCAAAATGCAGCAAAGATAGTGTACTGAAATGTTGGGTCAGGAATCCAGCAGTCCTTTGCAGAAATCCCTTGCAGCTTGAAATTCAGTTCAGACAAAGTAAAACATGAAAATGAAAGTTTAAGTTTCCAGTTTTGGTTGACCAGTGATCAGTAATTAAACTGAAACATCATAAGCTCTGTGCATTTAAAATCAAGATACATTGAATGTATCTAATAACTGAAAATAGGATTTCATTCCTTCCAGGTTTTTTTTAAACATGGTAAGATTTAATTTCTCCTTCTCCCCTCCCTACTAAGAAATAGGAAAATAACTCTCAGTTTTAAATAATACAAAGCTATAAATCTCTGAGTAAGGTACAGTGATTAGTTAAGATAAGCAGAGGGCAGTTGTTCAAAGATTAAATACTGAAATAGAAAGTTAATGATTCCTACATTTACCACCTGTTAGTACACTTTAGTGATGTGGAGAACAAGTCTGAACAGCTCATTAACAGTTATCATTTATTGACTGTGTACCATGTGTCAGACATTTTTATGGATTATCTCATTTCGATTCTCACAGCAGCCCTGTGCAGTAGATATTATTAGCCCTTTCAGATGAGGAAACAGGCGTAGAGAGGCTGGGATCTTACATGAAATCATCCAGCTAGTTAGTTGCAAAGCATGACTCTCACTAAGTTCTATCTTATTCCCAACTCATGCTCTCACCCACACCACTGCCTGGATTTGGTGGAAAAGATATAAATCCTTGACTATTATTTATAGTGTCTATCATGGTGTTGCTTGTTTGATGAACCAACTAAATCAATAATAGTAATCGTAGCAAAAATTGTTGATTATTGCACATACTACCTGCTCAATGCTTTTAGCATTTCAATTATGTATAATACATATATTATGTATATTATATATAATATATATATGTAATCCTTGCAACAACTCTAAGAGGTGGAAAACAGCCACAGAGAACATAAGCAATTTGTCCCGAAGTCACAGTCAATGAGGGTAAGAGCAGAGCCTCAATCGGAGACAGCCTGGCTCTTGTGCCCCTGATCTTGGCTAAGAGTTTTCATCTGGATGCAACTAAATCCATGTCCACATGTATAACAGCTTCAGTCACATTCTGAAATGGTTCCATCACCTTAGCAGAGCTTGGCAATGAAAGCAGAAGCTGAAAAATTGATGAAGCCCATGGTCGATGTGAACACAACCTAATGTATTCTTGAATTATTCTGCATTCTGCTCAATTTACTTTCTGCTAAAGAGTTTAATCCACATATCTGATGAGTAAAAGAGGATTGGAAATGATGGTTATATGTAGTTAATCAAATAAAACGACAAGTGACTTTCAACTGCTAACACACGCATCTCAACACATTTAAAGAGATAGACGGCATTATAGATATATTTGCACAGGCATATATATTATATACTTGGTGCTCGGTGCCCAGAACACAAGCCTAGCTTAGTGTCTGTTTTGAACCACATACAAATGTTCATTAACCTTATAAGTAAACACAAAATGTTCGATATCATGAAGTTGTCTTGAACCAGCTGTTAAAGTTGAATGCTGATTTCCCGACTCTGATGAGTTAGAGTTCTAGAATAAGCAAAATGGTTTCAGTGGTTGGATATATGTTTGGGTTTTCTGTGTGTTAATTTTCTGATGATACGAATGTTATCAAGTGTTTAAACTTCTGAGATTTTTATATGATGTTTAAGATATCCTTTACTAATAAATGTCTAACAGCTTTTCTTTATTGTTTTCTTTCTCTCCAGGTATCCCCAGTATTTCCAGTATTGGTAGTAAGTAAAAACAAAAAAAAAAACAACAACAAAAAATCACAAACCAAGTCTAGGCTAGCTTGGCTTTGTTGTTCAGCTCCTCAGATCTATTTTCCCAGTGTCCATTTCTGATGTAAGAGAGTATTTCCTTTGTGAATTGAATTGTTGTGTTTGTTCTCTGCACAGATATGGTGAGAGGACAGATAAAATAGTTATCTATGTAGAATTCCTCCATGGATATGGCAGTGCTACAGCTTTTCTGACTATTTTTTATGAAGGCTCCCTTTACAGAGGTACAATTACTTACATAACTATAACTCATTTAGCAAAAATATGAACATTTACCTATGAACATGCTATTTACCAATACTTAGTAACCAGCAAACAAATTGAACTCTCTCCCAAGGACCATATATGGATTTCTCCCATAATTTGGGAAAGCAGAGAATGAATGCCAATGAATGCTTTAGGCATATTCATTAACCCAAAGAAATCACTATGAAACTAGGGAGAAGGAACTTTATTAATGCATTAAAGTTTAGCCTTTGTGAAGGCCTGAAAGAGGTCAGTTTGTGATCATTAGTCTTTCTGGAGAAATGAAGGAAAGAAAAGAATCAATATGTCCATTGCGCCCTCCTAAAATACAATGATCCATATTTTCCTGACTACTTAGGTTCAAGTTTGGTAGAGAAGTGATATAAAAAAATACATGCAAAATTTAGGAATGGGGCTACTAGAAATTTCTGCAAGGAATGTATTAGTAGAGATATCAGCAATTGAAAAGAGAAGTCTCTCTTCAACATTCTGTTGAACATTTCTGTAGTACCTTTACAAAGACATTCTATCAGATACCATGGGAGAACCAGGCTATAGCTCCCTCTTTACATTTAAAACACTGACACCCCAACACCAAGCTTGAAATGCTCACTAAGGAAGTGCCCCATAACTTTTCAGAGCCAAATCTCACATATTTTTAAATATTGTTCCCTTTCTCTCTGATGGCTAAAACCTTTGAATAGCTACTGAATAAGTGATTTGAAATAAAGTACTGATAAGTGAAAAGAAACAATTTCACTAGAGTTTAACCTAGTCTTTGTCATAAATGCTGGGCCACAACAGGGCCACTTAAAAAGCAATACCCTCATAATTTGTATAAATTAACTTCCTGCCTCTTATAAATGCACAGTCAGGACTTCCATTTTTTAAATCAACCCAGTTTACTTAAGCTTGTGAATAGGACTACACACAGATTTATTAATCACTAGACATGTTAAATGCAATGAACATCAGCCACTTTGTAAATAGAAATAGAACTAGTGTTCACATTCATTTAGATACCAGCCTAATGCTGCAGCTTCCTCTTTGTGATCTTGTTGAAATGACATCAGTGCTACAAACTTGGAAGTGAAAACTTCAGTTCTAATAGTCTAATTTTTCTGCTGTAGCATCTCCCTTGGCATTTGCCTATCTACACAAATACGCCACAAGGTGCTCCTTTCAGGCCTTGACAGTTGTATTTGCACATGCATTTTGAAGCAAAAGGGACCGAAGGAAGCAAGCTGAGGCAGATAATTGAGGCTGCGGTAGTGATCTGACCTGTCAAAGGGTTCAGAAATGGATGAACGGAAAGTAGTTCTTTGGCGTTGGGGTGTGTTTCTGTTCCAAGTGTCAGTCGTGTGTTGCATGGAATTTCTGAATGTTTTGCTCACTTGACATCTCATTCGGCCGCCTCCACCACATGCCCCATCTTTGAGCATCAGCAGATGTTGACCTTTTACACACTGAATCGGGAAATTCCAGTTTTATTTTGCTTTGTTTTATTTTAAAATCAGTGGTGACCTGAAAGGATGCTTTGTTGTGCCTTTGGAAAATGTATTAACCTTTATTCAGGAAACTAGAAAAATTTAACTCCTTAATATCTAACCAAAACCCTCTAACAAGCAAAGTGATAGCTTATTCTCTGTTTTCATGATGCCTCTGGCTGTTCTGCTAGGAGTGCAATGGGTGTTTCCTCAGATTTCTCAGGCAAATGGTATAAGCACTTCCAGGGGTCACCCAGCATCACATATGGCTAGCTTGCTTATTGCCTGGCTTTAAGGTGAAGAGATTTGCCATAAAACCATCAAACATAATTTTATCTTCTCGCCTGCTTCAGTGGCATTTACACATTCCTTACAAGGACTTATAAGATGTTCTCTGTGTGCAATCGTGGATTCCTTTACTCTCCAATGGGCAAGAATTCATGCATAGAAGACTCCCTGCCTGTTCAAGATGGCATAGAAATGGGCTTTTCAAGGTAGAAGCTGGAAAAGAGAGATCCGCTTGGATTTTCAACTAAGTTTGGGCATTTACCAGGGCTTTTCCCTTTATCCCAAGGAAGAAATGAATGAACGTAATTCCACCAAGGATATAGAAAGATGCCATGATAATAGATATAACAATCATAACATTCCCACCATCAGGAACAATGAATGATGTATATTGTGGCATAAATTATTGATGTATGTAACCATAAGTTCACATACATTTGCTGTATACACAGTGATTAAAGATTTTGGAGGCCTGATAAGTTTCAGTATAGATTTCAAACTGTCAACACCTATATTAAGGTTCAAATGCATGGACAGAGTGGTCATCCTTTCCGATCATCTGCTAAAAGTGATTTTGAAAGAGATTTCCCATTAAGGTCATTTGTACCTGCTGTTGTCTATTAGGAAATAGATTTCCCAATCATCCCAAAGGTACTTGATTTAAAACTCAGTCATTTTGATGTGCTTTGGCTGTGGCTGAAAAATTATCGGTGGTATTGTCAGCAATTAATGAGTCCCAAAATAAATCTGTACCCATTTGAGCCTATGAGCTCTGTCTTTTCTTTACTTGATGCAGTAGTAATTCATTCAAGTTTCATTTTTTCAATGTAAAATGTATCATGCACTTATAAGTAAACATTCACAATTTTATCCAAGTGAATATTTGTTGATGCTGATGATCCAAATTAATATTTGATTTGGTGTGGGTGTTTTTGTTCAAGTGATAAACTAATCACTATAACATGTATTATCTGATCTTTAGTCCTGAAAAGCAAGTGATTTCACAAATTATTCTAAACAGTATATTATTTTAAAAAATGGTAATTAGAATAACAAGAGTTGGCCTAATATGCAAAGTAGCTTTGTGTGAGGGATTATCACCTAAAATGCAAGTGATGGAGGTTAAAGATTAAAATGTCAGAGGTTAAATAAAGGTAGATCACCCACTGAAAACTCATGTCAGGAAACTCAACTTAAAAAACTTGAAAAGTTTTTAATAAACAAAACCATTTCTTAGACTAGCAACAAAAGAAAAGATGTATGTTGACATTTTATGAACCCAAGTGTACATTGTTTCCTTAAATTACCTTCAAATGATTGACATCATGTTTTACAAAGTGTAAAATATTGATGAAAGCATTTGGCTGTCTCCTCCTCTTCAGCTATTCAATTTGAAATAACAATTTACTTAGGATAAATATTCCACTTTCCTGCTTTATCTTATAGTGAGCATTGCCTTCATCACAGAGTTAAAAATTCATCTCTAATTTGATTTAATTGGTAGGGCCATTAAAAAAGGGAAGTGGTACCTGCAGGGATCCATCAGCCTGTTGAGAAAGCTCAGAGATGTTTTCATACTTGAAAACATTTGATGCCAGTTGGAGACCTTATAAAAGTTGCTTTCCATACAGCATCCAAATATTTTTTGTTCGGTACCCATTTACTGTAGAAACCTGAACTGTGAGGAAAATAACAAGGTTAATCATTTCCCCCCTCAAGGGTTATTAGTAATCTTGTTCATGCTATCCAGAGAGCTGCAGTGTTTGTTTGTTTTTTTCCCTTTTCTTTAATACTTCTAAATCCCCCAAATAAAAGTTTCATTTGAATTGCCCTTTAGCTAATTAGGTTTTATATAATGAAGAAAGAAATTATCTGACTAGAGAGGCTATATGGCAGATTGTATGGTGTGCTACATTAATTTTGATCTGTTTGCTGATGTTCTAGAAGGAAAGCTAAGGTCCCAGGTGAAATACCTTTGGGACTTTATTATATCATGTATCCAGTATTCTCATCACAGATCCATTTCATATTTGTGTAACTAGCATTTCGCATTCATGAAACCTTTGTGGTTATCCTAAAATTGAATGAACATTAGGACATAGCTGCTTCTTTATTCTTGAATAAATTAAATATTCCAATGATGCAGGGGGTGGGGAAGTAGCCCCTACCTTAAAAAAAATCTGAGAGGTTTAGTCATCTGTAGCAAACAGCAGTTGCCCACCTTGATCAGATTTGACTTCTTTCATATATTAGCCTTTTCCCAGATGTCTTTAGAATGCCAAGCCACTTTTTAAGTGTGAGCTGATATCTGTACCTTTGCTGTTATCTCTTTGTGGGGACATCTGAAAATTCCTAGCTTAAGCAAAGATTTGCCAAGATCTCTGAAAGGGCCTATAGCGAACTTTCTCAAACATGTAACTGTGAACTAAAAGTAGGGTATCACCGAAGTCTTCTTGGACTATCAGTAGGGAGCTAACTGCTCCACTTCCTGGGAGATGTCCCCACATGTGTACAGAATTCCATTTTGGAGACTCTTAGGCTCAAAGTGTCCGTGTAACTTGTCAAATATAATATGGCCAGGAAGGCCTGTCTGACTCCAAAGGCTATGCTGGTAACGTTATACCAAATGGAAGAGGTTAGAAAGAAAGTTTCTATATTTATTGACTCCTACCTCAAACTCTTTCCAATCTAATACATTGACCTGTTTCTGTGTGGGAAATTTTAGTGTTCTGAAGAAAAACAGAAGTTCATTTTCTGATACCTTACTGTGTGATCAACAGAAACTGTTAAAATGAGCTTCCTCTTCCACCATCAATGATAAACATCCTCAAAAAGCTGAGGAAGAGGGGAAATGTGAAATGTTATTTATAGAACATGGGATAGTTCATGAAGTTTAGCTATGCATGTTGTGAAACATGCTTGTACATAGTC